AATTCGGCCTTCGGAGGACCCGGCCTGCCGTTTTGGACACAGCCATTATTTTATTGTTTTCTAAAGTCAGCTAGCTTTGGCAGCCATCTTGAAATGATTTGAGTTCAAATGTTAATCAGTTGTAGATACACATCCGTTGATTATTTTCTTAAAGTTTTATTAAAGCCCATCCGGTGRTTCATAAGATATTTTGCTAACGAACAGAAAATGAATGGTGAAGTTTTAAACACAGATCTTACACGGTCAGTTAGTGCTCACAGAGGAAGCTGGGGGTCTATCCCAGATACCAAAGCATCAGGTATGCTGAGAGTTTTCTTCAAATCCCTTCAGTATTTCATGAACTATTTTGCTAATGACGCAAACAAAAACATGCATGCACACACACACACATGAGCAAACACATTATTGCACCTTCACCTTTGGCAGCAAGTGATAATTAATGATGCAATTTAATGAACAGAAGCTAAGTCAAATCAATTATTGGTATTACCACAGCTTGCTTTTCAAATAGCATCAATTCATTAGCAGAAATTAAGCCCCAAATTTGCAAAGATCTTTGACCCCAGTGTTTCACTGTTGCTGGCAGGCGCTCATTATTGCACTTCTCTTCAGACTCGCTTCTGCTCCATSCATGTATTTCACATTTTGACCCAACAGTGCAGAGCACCTGCTACCATTTTACTGCTCTTCTTGGCTGGACAGATCCACTGATCAGGGATCAGAACTGCCTATCAGTGTTACTGGAAAGCCCTTGTGTTTTTTTTAAGAAAAAGTCTTCAAAAATGTTTAATTCAACACATGAGGAGGCAAGAACTACTCTGCTGTAGCTGCAAATTGAAAGAAAAAACCTGAATATAAATCAGGCATGTAATGAGTATTTTGAATGAATCCTTTGAAGACAAAGTGAAAATAAAATTGCTAGAAAAGGTAGTGGAAAGGAAAGAAAAATACATTTTTATGACCGTTGGAGACATGGCTCTTATGGTCTTTGCCCCCTTAATAGCACAATTTTTAGAGACTTATTTAACAGAAAAGGCAGTTCCATGTACCTCATTGTTCAGTCAAATATAATTACAGTTTTCATTTCAGTCCAGTGGCTGGTCTGGCACTCTTTCGAGGCAGAATGAAAAATAAAAGTTTCACTTTGTGCTTTTTCTTAGAACACAACAGGTTTCTCCAAAGTTTCCAGCTGTCTGGTTTCTTCACAAAAGCTCCGACCTATTTAGAATAAAATAATTTATTTGTCCCTCAATGTGCAAATTCCTATTGTTGCAGCAGGAGATAATTTACAAAGGAGTTTAGAAGAGACGCTGAACAAAAGAAGCACAAAACAATAAACAAAAGAAGACTGGTATGACTCTCTTATATGGACATTTTATTAGCCCAATATACACGTTTATATTCTAACATGTGCTTTAGAAACATCTGGTCAGCCACTCTTAGTCTAAATTATAAAAGACACAAATTGCGTGCTTCAWTTTTTTTCTGGATTTTAATTATAACCTTTATTTTGTTATGTTTTTACTTACCACCACCAAACGTGAAAATGTGTACGTGTGTTTGTAGCAAGGAAAGATAATCACTAAATGTGCCACCCRAMKGGTTACTTGTAGTCAACACCATTCAAGATGGCCACCACAGCTACCTTAGCAAACACAGAAATGTCTAATTCAGTCAGTTTTACACRTGTGTGTACCTTTAGTCATCAAGAGCTCTTCGCTGCCTGATAATAGTTTCAGGAGACCCGTTCCGAGCTATAACTAGAGGTCTTCTCATTTTCCCTCTCCTGGTCTGTCGTATTTGTTTATTTTGACCTGTTGRGTGGTAATCTGATGCATTTAATTTCAATGCCCCGGCCCCACTGAGAGCTTGTATAGCTTGTAAAGGTCCAGGCTTCCTGCACAATACTACACTCAGTGCTTACCACCTTGGTCTTGGCGTTGCCCTTCAATTTTTGCTTTTTTGTTATTATTGCCAGAATTGATTGAGCTAAAAACGAGAAAAGGTCATGTTAAATAATACGCTTTTAGTACCAGAATGGATGGTATGCGTGTATTGGCTTGGGGGGGGGGGGGGGGGGGCTACTAATCAAAGCATGATGGATTATTGGGTAGAAGGAAAATACCAAATATAAAGAGAGAAAGGAGGAATGTTACGGTTCTAAATTTACTGACGTTTAAAACCCACATGGCTGCCATTTTTGTGGTTCTCGCAGGAACRTAAGTTTGAATTTTGCGGTAGATTAGTCTCATGGTCAGGTCATTTATTTCTGATGTTTCTCCCGTTTCTGCCTTCCTCCGGGCTTTTCATTCTTTTTCACCACAAACTGCATGGATGAAAGATAATATGTCAGAGATGTCATTTTTAGTTGGGCCCCTCTGGGTTGCACAAAGCATCTGTGTGACTATTTTTTCCCCTACTGACGGCTTTAGCTCAGCTGACAATTGGCATGCAGCCCACTAGAGTAAGGGTACAGTCTCCTCCATTGGTTTCTCTGGCAAACACTTCGGCAGTCCTTGGTCATTTAGTCTTATGTGAGTAGACAGCTCCTTCCAGGCACTGCAGTATATCAAACACTCAATAATCACACAATAACTGCAGCTCAAGATAAAGAAAAGCCCCTYGCTGTATCAGCTCCTAACATCAGCRTCACAATGTATTGATACAGTCAGTGTCCAAAAGCGCAGCTTCATTCTCTTTCTAATCGAGTGCAGGATTTTCTTCTCCAGACTTTCCCTCCTTTCTCCACTCTCTTTCCAGCCTTTGGTTTTGATCCTTCCRTTTCTAAAGACTTCATTTTCTCGGAGGTCAACAAAATACATATCTCAGTTCGACCTTCCTTTTGTGCGGGTAAAAGTTGTTTTCTCAAGGCAGCCGCTGCTTTTACTCTTTTGGTGTTGCTGGTTTTTCAAGCGAAATGGCATGTTGGGATTATCGGCCGCGACAGATTATTTCACCACGGGCWGCTTGAGGAATACAGGTGCACACATAAGCCAATGCAAAAGTGGCAATGGAAGTTTTGCTGAACTTTTTCCCTTTCTTATGGTCTTTTCTGATTAAATTTTTCTCCTCAGCAAAAGAATGTGGGGTTTGAAGCAAATCCATGGATTGGACTTTCTAATTGAGTTAGTTTTGGATTTGATTGGTGCTCATTGGGAATTTTTCGTAAATTGCTTTTATATCATGACTATTGTTGGGCTTGTTTGTATTAGCTAGTATGATTGACAAGCCAGTATTAAAGACAGCCTGAAGAGAAGTCATCCTATAAAACAGTCCGTATGAGCTGTGTTTATGTGCTTGTGTGTGTGCGCGCTACGAGCACTTGTTTGTGTGTTTGCAAGAGATTTGCTTTAAATGAAGTCTGACCTTTGCTGGAGGACAGGCCTGCTTTGAAATGGCAAGGTGTTTATTGAAGTGCCCCTTCGACGCCCGTTGTGAGCTCCTGCAAATCACTATTCATAATGTGTAAACATTCAAACAGCATATAGACAGCCTGGAGACCATACACTCAGCACAATGTAAGATAAGGGGATAGAATTGTTCATTTCCTACAAGCAATTTACCATCACCCAGTAATATAGCTTAAAAAAAATATCTCTTTCAATAAAAGAAGTCTGTATTTCTATTTCTTAATAGAAAACACAAAAAATACTAGTAGTTTATAGTTTATTTTTGCTTTAATTGTACAAAATAAACTTTTTTTATTGCTGCAATAAAAGGACATTTTCCATGTGCTTACATCTGATGAGCTTTCCTTTTCTTATTTGTCACCGGGGTTTGAGTTTTACTTGCACTGACACAGCAGCTGCACAGATGTTCCATATAACTGAAAGAATTTACGTTAGTTAGAAATTTCACCCAATTTTTAAAATTAATTAATTAATTTTTTTGGGAAGTATGATTCTGAAAAACGTGTTTAATCCCTCCCTCAGGAGCTGAATGGTACTCTGAAGAGCTTACTCTCTGAGTGGTTCTCTGTTGGTCTGCTCCGACTTGAGAGGATCACCTGGCAGTCTCCTTGTGAGATCCTGCAGAAGATCAGCCAGTAAGAGCATTTGTGCACTTCTTTTTCACTAAATACATTTATTTTTTTTTATTCTAAGCAGGCTCGTGTAGCAGTAGGTYATAATAGGTAAATTAGAGAAAAATAATGTATTCATAAGAACTTGTGAGTTTCTCTGCTTGCATTTGTCTTCTGACCCATTGTTGGTTATAGAAATATAAATGAATTAAAATGTACTAGAAGTGAATCTTTAGAGACAATAATGTACCTAAATGTGGTTTGAAACCATTGAGTATATGTTGCTGGTTCACAGCTTTCAAATCAAATGAAAATGCAACATTTGGAATCAACTACAAATGTTCAGCTGCTCAACTGATGAAGAAATAATGATGGAAAACCCCACACCTGTTCCCAAGGCAGCTCTTGAGTCAGTGTGGTCCAAAAATATTAATAAATAGTCGGATTTGAAAGCTTTTCTCCTTGTTGATGAGCCAAACACAAACCCTGCAATTAACAGACCTCCAGCTGAACCACCTGAGCCACGGCCACACGGCCTGGACTCTGGAGGTCTGTGAAATTTGAGTGAAAGCACAGTTTATTTTTTAAAGCGAATCTAAAATATAGTCCTGATGAAACATTTTGGTGGTTTTATCGTTTTATTTGGAGCTAAGTTTTCTAAGATTCAGGGTTTAAAGCGTATCACGTGTGGCTCTTCTTTTCAGAGACAGTGTGTATTAATGGTGTTAAAATTAAAAACTGAATAAATTACTCTACAGCTGAAGATTCAAGATGATTGTGGTGAATTGATGCCACTTATTGAGTTTTTAAAAAGTGTGTTTAAACAATCCTAACAAGGAAACATTTTCATATCTAATGGGTCTTGATTAGCCTTCTGCCAGGAATGAGCTATCCTGTACTGCAGTGTTTCCCAAAGTTGGGGTCGGGACCCAAAGTGGGGTCCCGAAACATCAAGGTGGGGTCCTTAAAAGTTTTTCTGAATTAATTACATTTTTGCCTTAGTTGTTACAAAGGAGTGAGCTTAGTGTATTTAAAATGGATGAATGTTGTATAAAAAATATTGTTACTATGTCCATGTTTAGTTGACCTGATACAAATGTTTATCGTCCAAACTTAGCTGGGGTACAGGTCTCTGCTACTGTTATTTTGTGGGTCAAAAGCTGAAAAGTTTGGGAACCAGTGCACTTTGGTTCCCAAAGTTGGGCTTGGGACCCAATCATGGGTCATGAAGCACCTTGGATAATCTCCAKAAATMAATTTAAAGGATAATAAAATAATTGCTGATGTAATAGTTTCCCTATGAATTTATATTTGTGTACAAGCTGTTTAGATTGTCAAAAAGCCTGTGTTTTTAGGGTTATTAACAAAGTTTGTGTACTCAGACCAGTAATATTTGGGGTCACAAGTTTTTGCCATGGATATTTTGTGGGTCAGAAGATCAAAAGTTTGGGAACCACTGCTGTACTGTATACTCTAGAGGAGCTTTACTATTACTAAGGATCTTTAGAAACTGGTCCTTGATACAATTCACCAGGATTACATTAGAAATGAATTTGTCAGTTTTTGTCCTGGTTTGGATTTGAAGTCGTCCACATTCCCAATTAAAACTTCAAGATTTTTGACTTTTGGGAATCTTTCTGCCCTCAWACTGGAGCGTATTCTGGCTTTAGGTGAAGAAATGGAAGACATGCCATTTGAAAATTAGCAGCATGAGTCATATGACCTGTAAACATCCAGAGCATGTTACGTTAGAATAAAACAGAGGAAATGCACCAAGCCTAATTAGTTCTCTGCTGCTTTACAAGAAGTGTTTAATTAAATCTGCCAGCTCCGGTTGTTTTGGCCTCTAAAACACGGCTTTTTGTTGCCCTTCGCTTTCGCCTGTCTGAAGTCCAAACATAGGACCAAGCATATCATAAATGGCTGCAGGTATGTGTACAGTAATATTACAAGCATTTTAAAGGAGTTTTAAGGGATAGGTAAATCTGGGTCAAAATATGCTACAAACCCAACACTTTTATAAAAAACAAAGTATCCTAATGAATTATATATGTAGAGAAATGTACATTGGCACCACTTTTCCTTCCCTGTTTGATTATTATTTTGAATATGATTTGATTATCATTCTTTTTATTCTCTTATTTGAATATTTATGATAGTGCAATCATGTATTAACAAACATAATTTAGTWATCAGGAGCATTCTTCCCTCCAAAGGGTGTATAACATAATTTCCATTTAAGAATTTTTGAATTCGAATTGACTTGAATTGGAATAACTGTTAGCTTATTGGTATATAGCTGACACAAAATGTATAAACTTTCTTGTTTCAGTGGATGATAGTAAGAAATTATTCGATCCTCCTTTTTAGTATTGCTTTTGTATAGGTTTGTAAAGATGGGTAACATTTTCACCTTAAAATCATTTTTGTTACATTGTTGCCTGCTTGTTCAACTTGCTCATCACACCATAAACAAAATACAGAAATAAAAACAAATTCCTGCTCTTTTTATTTCTATATGTTGAATGTTCTTGTCAACTAAGATGATGGTTCCCAGATTTTTCAGCCTCTAACCTACAATATGAACACATCTTTGTCTTTATTTATTGCTGATTGGAGTGTCCTGCTTCTTCCCACAGCCTTGATTTAAAACCAGGTATGACAGGGCATGCCAGAAAAAATMAAATAAAATAAAACTAAGCGACTGACTCTGAGTCTTCTKTCAGGTATGAAGCGGTGCACCCTGTAAGGAACTGGACTGACCTGAAGCGTAGAGTGGGATCATACAGACGCTGCTACGCCTTCACCCATGCCGCCATGCCAGGAGAGCCGCTGGTCGTGCTGCACGTGGCTCTGACCGAGGACATCTCTGACAACATACAGGTTAGAAACCACAGCTGCAGGCAGCTGGAGTGTTCCTTTTTTTCCACTCTGTGATGTCTTAGAGGTCAGTCAGCAAATGGATTATTTCAGTGTGGGAAAACAGCAGCAGACATTTAAACTGCTCATCCTCGGGGCACAACCTGGACTACGCTTGCTTTTGTCTTGATGCTTCACGTGAAGAAAAGATGGTGTTTGATAACAGGGATATTTGAGAATGTTTTTGTGCGACACCGTGCACCGATTTCTACAGTTTTGACCATTCAGTAAAAAAAGAAAAAGTTCAGCCTCAGCTCTGCAGCATAGAATACTTAAGCTCTGATCTAAATGCAGTGTTTGTTGGGGATTCAGCGAGGATGTTTGTTGTTTTTTCCCCTCCTCAGAGTATCGTTCGTGAGTTTGCAACACTTGACTCAGAGGAGGACGTGAACAAGATAAATTCAGCCGTCTTCTACTCCATCTCCTCCACCCAGGCTGGCCTGCAAGGAGTGGAGCTGGGCAACTATCTCATCAAGAGGGTGGTGCGAGAACTGCAGGTGGGTAACCGTGGGCTGTAGGCGGTGGTCCGCCAGCTTTATCAACAAATATTTGCTTTAGAAACGACAGATTTGGAAGCAAAAATGGATTTGGCAACAAACGAAATGAACAAWTCCAAACTCAACTTATTCCAGCCACAAGTTGCGTTCCGGAAATCGGTGGATATTTATTCCAATTAACTAATATTTGCTGTAGGAGCCCTGGAGATCAGCACAGCTTCCAGGTTCTTGGCTCACTTTTGCTGTGCAGAAAATGATTCTATCACATAAATTTGCATTAATAGTGTTTTGCCAATTAAAAAGCCCAAACCAGTCTGAATTATGTATTCAGTTTTGTTTGAGATCCCAGTAAAGACTTGGCTCGGGTAGATCCGAGGTAAGGCACATTTTTTTTTGTTTTGCTTTTACTTTTCTTATGTAAATATAATACCTTATCTGTGAAGATGGTAAACTGTGCTTCCTCACCGCAGCTCCACAATAACACATTATCATAACAGCAAACATGACACACACRGAGATATGGAGCTCTTCTGCTGTGTGATCGAGTATCAAAAAGTCGTTTTTGTATTCAGGTGTCTCCCAGGTGGCACTGAAAAGTTCCGCTGCAAAAAGAAGAATGATACTTGGTTTCTTTCACAAAGTTACATTTTCATCTCTGTGGAGTCATAAATAATGTTTTTTTATAGTATTAGTGTACATTTTGTACTTTTACAGCCATGAAATTATAAACACATATGGTGTGATCACAGTACTAACATCTTCTGACTCATGAAGCAATAAATGCTACATATAGACACAGCAGGAGTCAGAGAGCCTTTAATGGAATCTAACCCATCCCTCTCAATAAGCACAAAGGGCTCTTCATGTATGGCCACTCCAGCTCATTGTAAAATGATGGAAATCCTGAATGAAGCCTCAAGAAGCCACTTTAACCCCACAGATGAAATAAAAAGCACTTTRTCTTTATCAAAATCTGCTTTAAGCTCCTTCAGCTGCATTTACTCGTATTATAGGACTGCTTGGATTGTTGCACATGGAATTACCTACAGGCTGTTTTTAATGATGACACCATGGCTCAGCACACACAGTATTGAGTTTTCTTGTCTTTGGTGTTTTGGAAACTGCAGTTTATGTTGCTGTGTGCTGAGGWAGAAATATCCTCATCAGATTGGCTGTAAGTTTGCAAATGAATGTTTTAGCCCATCTTTTTAATGCAAGAGAAATAGTCCAAAAACGTGATTTATTTTTAGCTAATTTATGCTATAATTACAGTAAGTATATGTCAGCGGTGACAAAAAAACAAATATAAAGTTTTCAAATGAAGTCAAAATTCAAAATGCTGTTTAACACGTTACATTTTTGCGGATTTACAGAAACAATCTTGACCATACACCATCTGGAGGCGTGTTATGATGGAGGTTTTTTAACAGGTTAAATTGATGACTGACCTTTCAGGAGCCTGAAACAGCTGTCATTGTCGGTGTCGGAGGCTTCCTGCTGCACCGTCAGGCAGTTTAATCAGTTTGACATTAAAGACTCTGATTCGAAGGAGGGAGAAACATGCTTATCAGCATCTCTTGATGCACACAGTAATCTCCCAAAGACAGAACATTTTGTTTACTTTACAACATRAATAGCCTTCAGACAGAAATATGGTTCAACTGTCTTTCACCTCAGCAGAGCAGCAAAAAAATAACGTCTACATCAGTTTTACTGAAAGATTTACATATTTTTAAATTCAGGAAATTTCTTTAAACCAGATTATATTATTATTATTATTATTATTATTATTATTATTATTATTATTATTTTGAAAAATGTCATGATGGAATTTTAGCATGAAATCAGCAAAAGTTATATATATAAAAAATAAATAAATAAAATGAATATTAACTATTTAAAATACGTATTAAAAATGTAATTTTCTTTTCTGCTTTGTGCTCTTGTTGCATCTTCTAATTGGAAATTCTAGAAAAGGTCACAAGAAATGTTCTTTGGCTGTGCAAAATCCACTTTTACACATTATAAAAAAATGTTCAAATTATCACAAATGTGTTAAATATGAATTTAGAATTAACAAACGTGTTGTGTTTGTTCCAAAAGAAATGATTAGGGTACGTTAGAATGATTCAGTCCTTCTTAACGTTTATTTAGTCAGAAATTCTTCAGATTTGTTAAAGCTCAGTTTGGAGTTTTGAACCTTTTTTTTCGTCTTTTTCCTTTTAGAACATGAAAGCATGTATTTTTTTTATAAACCTTATGGGATTCATAGCTCTGACCCTTACAATGTGAGTTCAGCACTCTTCTTTAGAAGCAACCAGTAACCAGTCTTGTAATCTGTGGAGATCCTGGGTCTCTAACAGAACTTTGCTTCGCACAGAGGTGATGAGAGGGTCAGCGTGGCCACAGAAGGATGACTGTGATGATGGATGGATGGTGAAGTAGGAGAGAAAAGGTCACAGCTGTGATTTAAGGTGAAGAGAGAATGTCTTGCTTGTTTTTGTAGATTAGACCCTGGAGGACAAAACTGGCACAGATTGTTCTTTTTCTCTGATCTCTTTTTTTCCTGTTTTTTAATTTTTTTTAATTTTTTGCTGCTTATGTATTTCTTTTTATCTTTTTTTTTGTTTTGTTAATTCATTATTTTCTAAATATGGGAAAAATAATTTATCACAGAAGGAGGTTTGAATTCTGTASGTAAAAAGATGAAACTGCTTTGATTTTTAATTGAAATGAAGGTAAAAGGAAATAAAATAATGTGTCCCACCAGGGGGTTGTCTGACACTTCCCAATTCCATCAACGTCCATTCCCGTCTCTGCCTGACATATTTTTCCATCACCTATTAAAGTGGACACCTAAGCATGAAAATGGATCTGAGAGAGGAGTGAGACTTTTGCCAAAGGGGGGGTGGGGGTGGGGTGGCAGAAGTTTCATGAGATGAGTGAGTGGGTGACTGGTCTGTGTGGCCGAGATGAGACAGAGACGCAGAAGTGGTGGCAGTTGAGAGAAAAGAACAGATATTATAGGTGAGAGTGCAGGAGATGGAAGAGGAGGGGAAAAAAAGGAGAGCGAAGTAGAACAGAGAGGATCATTCATCTCCATCTGTGGAGCAGGACCGCAGAGCGGGGAGCTGATTCCTAATGAAGTCTGAGGGAGTGAGGGGTCGAGCAGGACCCCAGCACAAACAAGAAAACTTTGATTGTGCTTCTTCGACACACAGGTCGAATATTTATCCTCATTTCCGCAGCTGCAAAACTGTTGGCCTTTTACATTCAAGAAAGGATCAAAGGTTCGCTGCTTCTTATCTGTTTCTGCATTCCGCCTGTTATCTCCTCTTCATCCGTGTCGCTGTTCTTCTCTCCCAGCTCTTAAAGCAGGCTAAACAGATTYTGCAGCTCTTTGCACAAATTCAAATGATCCTGGACTCTGAGTTAAAACAGGAGCAAAAATGTTTAAAACCCTTTAAACCCTATTTTTCTGAACAATCTGGAGTTTGTCACTTTTTTCTTTTGACATAATTAACTTGTTTCTCTCGAGATAAACTTGCATCACTTCTCAACTTCATCTTCATAAATATCAGTTATCAAGTTTGTATTTTTATCACATATTTATGTGAATGTTAAGAATTCTCTACAGTTTTTTTTTCTGTTTATTGTTTTTTTTAATATACTTGCTTCATTTTGAACTTTTATCTTCCAGTTCTAGTTTTTAGTTATATTGTTCTGCTGGTGTTAGCTTTTAGCTACTGTTGTAAACATTTTAGTTATCTAATAATTTAGCATTTTAGGCTACCGTTTTGTTGATTTTGGGCTAATGCTTTGATAATTGTAACTTTTAGCCTACTTTTCTGATCATTAATTTATTTATGGTTTTAGATTTTAGCTATTTTTTAGTTAATTTTGACTTATTTCTGCAGTTTTTCTTATTTTAGCTTTTAGCTACTGTTTTGTAATTTTTTAATTGTATCTGTTCCCCTGCTGGTTTTACGAATTAGCTTTCGTTTAGCTTTTTTCTTTTTTTGTTAACCTTTTCAAATTTTTGGTTTTGTTCTGGTCTAATTTTATTTTATTCCTTTTCTTTTTYGCAGTGACAGTACAACAAAACATTATCACCTATAGGCAGCAGATGCAGCATACACAAGGCTTCTAGCTAAAAGCTAATTTACAGCCCTCACTCATCCCTGGTTAGGCTTTTTGGTCTGAACAAAATAAAATTTAATCACATAAATATATATACGGTAAGTAAGATGACTCAGATCCTGCTTACTCCACAAGACCTGAAGTTCTCCAGTCAGGTTTATGATCTCTAGTGACCTTGGTTTAGTCGATGTTCATGTTAAATAAATTGTTTCCTCACCGTTAGTTGTTTTAAAGTTGTCTTTGTTTCAATGACTTACCTTACATTCAGCAGACATGCAAACTCTTCCACTTTTCTTCTTCTCTGTACCTTTTCAGAGCGAGTTCCCTCACATGGCCCAGTTCTCCAGTTTGTCGCCCATCCCAGGCTTCTCCTTGTGGCTCCAAGGCCTGCTGAGCCAGTACAGGAAGGAAGGCCGGGGCTCCGATCTTTTATCGGAACAGGAATGGAGGGAGGTGGAACAGGCCACTGGTTCYGCCCCAGGGACCCCTGCTGTTGACTCCCTCCGCAAGCTCATCGTCACCGGCGAGTGGGCTCGCTCAGAGAGACTCTCCGGTGTCCTGGAGCCGGTCCTGATGCGTCTCTGTGCCTGGTACCTTTACGGGGAGAAGAGACGAGGCTACGCTCTTAACCCAGTGGCCAACTTTCACCTGCAAAATGGCGCCACCGTATGGCGCCTCAACTGGCGTGCCGACACCAGCCCCAGGGGCGTGGCCAACTCCTGTGGAATCATGGTGAACTATCGTTACTTTTTGAACGAAACGTCTAAAAACAGCACGTTATACCTTCAAAATAAAATCATCGCAGCATCAGAACAGGTGCTAGGACTGGTGTCCCAATTTCAGCAGAACAGTAAACTGTAAAATGAGAATTGTTACACCTTTACTGCAACTATTGTTTGGTTTTACAAGGTAGACCCAGTTGTTCATGGCTTAAAAAGTGATTTATTATGTTATTAAATCTGCCTTTGATATTTGTCATGTTTTGCAAAAATATCTAAAACCTGCATTACTACTGAATGTACTTCCTGACATTATTTTTGTATTAAAATTAGGCCATTTCTCACGTGACGTAAGTCACCCCATCTGCTATGCGCCTCATTAGATTTCCAGCCGAAGCTGTTTGATATTGTGTAAGTGATTCGTCGGGCAGACTGCAGCTAATGAAGCAGAAGGCATCCATCAATGCCAAAGCATGTTGGTGAATAATAGTGTGTAATGGTGAGGCTGGAGCAACAAGGGTGTGCACCTACTGGAATAAATGATGTTTATTCTTTCATTTGGCTGAGCTGTCGCACTGTAAACACGTCAAAGCATGAGAGCCAAATAGATTTATTTTGTCCTACTTTGGTCGGGTCTAACTACACCTGCTGCTCTGCTTACTCCAAGTAATGCACAAAATTAGACAATTTTTTTCTTTATTTTCATAATATACAACCTAATTCCAAGAAAAGTTGAAAAAATGAGTTTATGAGATTTGCTAAATATTGCATTTTGTTTTTATTTACATTTTACAAAATGTCACAACTTTTTTTGGAATTTGGTCATACAGTATATATATACTGTATATATACAC